GAGAGCATTGATGATTTCAACAACTATGAGGTTTTTCCCATATTGCAGAAGCTCCTAACTCGTGATTTTTTCAGGTTTTATAAAGTGAGTTACTATTCACGTGCATTTGAATGTCACATCAGTTTTGTTTCCTTGAAATGTGAGCAGCAAAGAAAATGAAAAAAAAAAAAAAGGATAAATGAAAGAAACGTGGATAATAATATTATTGGTTAGGTATTTGTTTATATTTTTAAGTGTAGCATCGGAAAAGAGCTTTATATCATTAAATTTTGTCTTTTTAGGTTAACATGGAAAAGACATGTCCATTTTGGCCAGATGATCGGCAGTGCTTGAGCAAGGAATGTGGCATTGGTTATTGTGATGACGAAGTTCCATCAGGCTTGAAACAACCAGCCAGCATATCAGTGGTTCGTTCTGAACTCATTCGAACTTCTTTGAAAAATGATTCTCTTATAACTCAGATTGGTGGAACTGATTCAACCTGTGAAAAAGAAGAAAGTAATGCATTTGATCCGCTGGATACAACTTTAACGGAAGGTGATCGACGACAACTGAATGACATGGACTGGCACGATGAAAATGAAGATAAATTTTGTGACTTCGAAGGTTTACTTTATTAGACTTGTGAAGATCTCTAATGGATTCTTCTCGAAAATCTAGTGTCTTTGTATAAGCTTTTCCATTTTTCACACTTTGAAGGAGCGACATAAATTTTCTTGTTAGGAAACACCATATGTAGAACAATTTCTTTCGTTTTCATTGTACAGTGTCAGAGATTAGTCGAGTGCTATTTGCTGATAAAATTTTACCCGCAGAGAAATTATCAATCGAATGATACGATTTATTTCAGATGAAGGATCAGCAGCTATGCATTATGTCGACTTATCCAGAAATCCTGAACGATATACGGGTTACAAAGGCGATAGCGCACAGAAAGTGTGGACTTGTATTTATCAAGAAAACTGTTTCAAGTTAGTCAAAAAAATTACTGCTGGGATATTTTTATACTGTTGTAATTATAAAACTGTTCCCAGTTGTCAGTTGATGGAAAATTATATAATTTGAGCATTGAATATATTTACTGAGCACTCAATTTTGACAGTTCCTTAGAAAGTTCCACAAGTGATCATTCATACACGCAACAAAGCAATAATTCAAATTACACAATAAATAATTCGAAGTAAAAATAACTGCACTCATTGAGTGCCTGCTTCTTCCGTGTAGTAATTGAAATTTGGTACATTCTTTTGTTTTTTCAGACCAAATATGAAATTTGACAAAAATTTCCTTGTTCATCCTAATTCCTTCGGTGAGTTCAAATGTTTTTGTTGCAGGTATCGTATTTGAAATTCTTTGCATACGTAAACTTATGTTTTATGGACAACAATTAATCACATTTGCGTTTGTTGCTGGTGTAAAACTCTTTAAAGATTTTTGTAGGAATGTGCTTTGAAAAACGTGTTTTCTATCGTTTGATTTCGGGTCTGCATTCTGCGATTACTATATCGATCGCTTCTAACAGTTTCAAATCAAGTGAAATTTTTATAACTGTCAAATAGCAAAAATCTTTAACTATAAAAGTCTCTTTGTTCATTTCGTTCATCTTTCATTTTCAAACACATAGTGACAATGTCTGTTGAAAATCGTTATATTTTGGGAGCGAAAATGGTTCTTTGGACACTATAAGAGATAATTAGTCCGTTCAGCATGTAACTTACTATTTAAGCATAGAAATAAACAAAAGAATTTAATCTATGTAATCATTCTCTAGTTTAGATAATGTTGTGGTGTTGACCATCTGATGAGGAGTGACCATAGACAAGCATAACAATTTCAGTTTAATCTGTATTAAAATTGTAATTGAAGCAATTCTTACTTTTCTTTCCATTTAGGTCATGTTGGTTTTGGAGATGGAATTTGGTTTAGAAATACGGAGCTTTTCAAAAATCGTTTCGGGACAAAATGGACACCTGAAGGACCACAGAGGCTAAAAAATATTTATTTCGTCTATCTTTTTGAACTGAGAGCACTCGTAAAAGCAACACCTTATTTTCGCAAAGAATTATTTTACACTGGGAATCCAAAGGTTTTCTTGGATTTTGAAAAGTAAAACTGAATCCTTTTCCTGAAGCGTATTGTAAAAAAAGAAAAAGATTTGTAAAAAAATTTATTGTAAAATTCCTAAAAAGAATACGATTCATTAATATAAATAACATTGAAAATTGTTTATTCTAGGAAGATGCAGAAACACGTAAAACAGTGGAAGAATTAATGAGTGCTTTGAAAAAATTCAGTGATCCTTTCGATGAGACTGAAATGTTCACAGTGGGTTTTGAATATATTGATATAAGTTTTAGAGAAAAATGGGACTCTGCTGTAAAAATCTAGGCTGTTGTTTCCCTTACATTGTTTTTCTTAGGATTTCTTGATTTTTTTGAGTGTTTTGAATTTGATTCAACTAATTCAGTTCTTTATACTAATTGGGCAAAGCTTCTGAATTAGATACTGTGTTTAGATGTTTTTATCTCCTTATTTATAGGGTGTTGAAGCAACGGCCCGGGAATTGCGTGAAGAATTCCGTCAACATTTTTTCAACATTTCACGAATTATGGATTGTGTTGGCTGTGATAAATGTCGTTTGTGGGGAAAACTGCAGACACATGGAATGGGCACAGCACTGAAAATATTATTTTCTGATTTACCAACTTCTCATTATAAAACTCAAGATGGCATTGTTCATCCACCTTTCCAGTTAACAAGGTATAATTTCTCTTAAGCGATTCGTAAGACTCTTATTGTCTTATTGCTCTTATTGTTTATTTAAACTTTATTTACTTGGTTTTATGCTGTTTTATGATTTCTGTTTTTTTTTTTTTTTTTCAAAGAAACTATAATCTACTGCAGAGGATAGACGTTAGCACAATTTTCCAATACTGGTTTTTCATTAAGTCTACTTTTACCTTCACCACTCGCTCTTCAGTTTTTTGTCTAGGAACTTTTCATGATTCACTTATTTTAGAGATGAAGGTTCTGGAGAACAAATTGTCATGACCATTTTCTTTTTCAGACTTTTTTGGTTATTGATTGCATGATGTGAGAAGAACCGTTATAGTTGATTCCTTTCGTTGACATCTCATTCATTTATTGTTTCAGGAATGAGGTCGTTTCGTTGTTCCAAAGTTTCGGTAGATATGCATCAAGCATCAGGGAAGTTGATGAATTCCGTCGTGTATTGACTTAGTTCTTCATAATAAAATTTCATAAAAAAAGGAATATGGAGAGTGAGGATAGCTTGTCCTCTCTTTAAGAAATGGTTGGCTGTTATCCAGAGTTTATCTCTTTTTGTGCATTTCGGAACTGATATATATCAAATATTTGTACGCTTTCCTAATTGATTAGTGGTGGGGTTCGGATTTTTTTTCATTCGTCCTAAGCGTTGCTTTATCTAAGATACGAGAGCCTCGTTATTTACTTTTCCTTCCGTTTTTAATCTAAAGGGAAACCAAAAATTACCATCTTTTGGATGAGAGATGTATTATTTAGGTCCCAGAAACACTTAGGTCGTTATTTTGTATTAGTGATATTTGTCAGTGTCTATGGGTAGGCCTAGACTTCTTTCTAACTTCAAATCAAAACTTTTCTGTTATTTATATAATAATTACAATGGATAGTAATAATATTACCTAGCAGTTGACAAAATTGCTATTTTTCTGTTATCCGTTCTCATTAATAGTATTAACTGATACCTGATGGGAAAAAAATTGACACTAGTTTTCGATGTTTTCTTTTCAGAAGTTTGTTTTTATCATTTCCAAGTCTTTCTGTTTTTGTCGCAAGAGAAAGCATCCATTTTCTCCTTACGGGTTTTCAGAATTGTGGAATTTATTGTTTTCGTTGAAAGCTTTAATTTTATTTGTTAGGTTTATTCTCTAATATTTAAAAAAAAATATAATCGTGCGAGTCTGCTTGCATATTAAGTGATTGGTAATAAATCGGAATTCCCTTCTTCAACTTACCCCTTCAATGTCAAGATTCTATATTGTCCATTAATTTGTCATTTCATCTGTTTTTGGTTTTGTTTGTTACTTGCGTAACAAACAGATTTTAATGCCAATTTCGAGTGAACCTAGAAGAAAGATCTGTGCATATCCGATTCAACTGTGACAACTGTGGCACTAAACATCAATTATTAAACAAAAATTGGTACTTCAATGTGTTTGGTCGTGCTTTGAGCAGTTAAGAGAAAGTGTCTCAGTGCTGACCAACCATCACAGATTTACTGAAGTGGTAGAAGTAGTTAGTTGCGATATGACCAGTAGTGAATGTTGCTTGCAGTGCAGTGGTAGTTAACGATCAAGTTCAATGATACTTATGAAGCATGGATGGGCCAGTAAACTTTCCTTCAACCTGTTTCACGCAGAATATGTTTAATGATTAATTGATGAATAAGTTATGATTAAACCCACAAAATAGAAACAAATGAAACGTTAGTGTATTGGAATAGTTAGTCATATTAACAAGATAATGACGTAAGCAGACAACGGGCAAATGCCGTAATGTCATGTGGTGTGAGTCAGTCAAGAAATCGACTATACAGAGCACCGGAATGGCGATGATGATCACGGAGAAATAAAAACTTGTTCACAATGACCATTGGAGAAATCCATGACAGAAGAGATTACGATGTCTTCTTATTATCAACAGATCTTTATTCTCCAATATTCAGCGGTTTGTTTGATATCAACAAGTGGAAAAATTTTCCTGCAAATTATTCTGATTCATCATGTGTTAGACCTGTAGGAATCAGTCTCAAAAACTTCATAAATTTCAAAAGCCATAATCACAATTATTTCCGAAGTTGTATCACTATATTTTGAAAAGATATAAAAAGATACTTCAAATTAGTTTTCGGATATCATAAAATTACATCATAAAGTGTAAGAGACTTGCATAGGAGACTAAGATTTATTTTGTAAAAGCACCAAAGCTTGCTTTATCTTCTACGGAATAGCCAGCAAGTTGTCTGGTAATCTATCACCATCATCTTTCTGAAGTTCTGCTATGATCAATGAGCAAAGCTCTCGTGGGTTGTTTTCATACGGAAACGCTTTCATTACAGTCAATACGATCTGCTTCGGAAACAGCTGACACAATATATTTTGTAATCGATGTCGTTCGTTTATTACCTCTGGACAAGTTGGTTCAGATGATCTGGAAATAATACAATCCTAATTCGTCCTTGAAAATAAACTTTAAGTTTCTCGAAACTACTTTAAATGTAGACTCAAAGCTCGATGACCATTCGGAGATCGCTTTTTTCTAAGCTCCACAGAGAAAATGCATAGTAATCCGAATTAGCATTTTAAGGACTGATCATGTGTAATGAGGGAATTATTATTGCCTTATCAAGCTAAATTTCGATTCGTCTCGAAGGTTTATACACGGAGTAAGAAAATGTGGAGGTGTGATGGTTCGGGTTTCACATGCGTCGCTTAAAGTATCCGGATTTCGTACAAAATGCTGCGGTAGCGATAAACCGCATAAGTCGGGAGATAGATCGTTGTCTGGAAGTAAGCAAACTTAAAATTCAAAATCTTTATTAATCTTGTTGACAGTAAGTTATATCAGATCTTTATTTGATTCAATTTATATATTGTAAATTTTGAAATAAGTCTTCTAAACAGTTCTTAATTCTAAATGATTCGGCCAAAAAAATACAAGTTAGAGAGAATTTTAAAATTCACCCTCATTGTGAACAAGTTAAGAGTAACGGAATTCAGAAAGCTTTATATTTTGAATTTTTCGTAAACCGCTACGAATTTTTTAACTATATAAAATATTTCAACACTACCTAAAAAATTATTCTACTTTTCTGCAAATCTTTCAGTTGCTTATTGCGTTTTTTTAATCAAGAAAAGAAGAAGAGAAGAACATACGATATGAATTTAATGAATTGATGCATGGATAGGGTGAAGGAAGTACCGTTGTATAATAATGAGTTACATTTGTTGCAGAGTGATTACATCTTATTAGAGGAGTCAAAGGTAGGGAACGCTTCGAATTTGTTACTTTCCGAGGGTCGTTCGATGGGGTGAAGCAGTGCTGTTCTCGAATTTGATGAATCCGATCAACTGATAATGGTAGAAATGGAATGGCGGTTTGTTGAACGCTAAAAACAGAAAGTTGAGATGACGGTATAGGAGATAGAGATTGTGTCGCGTCCTTCTCATGATGATTCGGTGAGTTCTGCATCAGCTTCTGAAATTTAACTTTAGTTTCAAACTGAACTATAAAAAGTTAATATACTAAGTTGTTAAAACAACTTACCTTATCGTTCTCACATACAATCATCTTCTCTGAAATTGGTATATTCAAATTTTGTGTCGAATGATCCATACATTGACAAAGAATTGTCTTTGGTTGGGATAAATCTGTAAATGATTGTGGTACACACTGGATTAGATTCAAAACAATATACATGAAAACGTGCAAACTATTCTTAACTTCTAACATAATACACTAATTCATTAATTAATATTTCAAAGATATGAAGGTTATTCGCTCATTGAACTCTGATTTTTTTCATATGAATAACTTCAAATTCCAATTCTAATGCTTGAAAAGTTATCAACTTAAAAAACTGAATCCTTTTTTAGAAAAAATATTTAGAAAACAGTTAAAATCAATAAGGTCCATCACAAAAGAACAAACAGATAGGATGGAACTGCCTTCGTTTTTCTTTCATCAACCGATCCGTAACACTAACACGAATACCGTTTGGTCTTTCCGGATGATAATATCTGATAAAGATCATTGTATTATTTAAATTTTGTAATAGGGAAGTGTGAAGTTTTTTTTATATGAAAAATTCAAATGTCTTTCATTTCTTTTCAACTTCGAAAGTTGTCACTTTTTCAAAATTTCAAGCTTATGCAGAATTTTAAAAACACTGTCCAGTTCAATAGAAATCTTTCACCAAATCTCACTTGCATTTATTCCCGTAAGTGCATCGCCGCGCATATGGACAAATTTGGGATTGAGACTGTCGATTTCCCTTCGTTAAGAACTTTGTTAACTTTGGTCCATGTCTTCCAAGTGGGTCATCGGGTGGCATAAATCTTGCAAAACAAGCCAAAAAGTCCTCAGAAAATTTTATGAGACAGGTCATACTTTGCCCCATTTGCTTCATAAATACTAAGTAAGGCTATGAAAATGAAACGAATACGAAAATTAAACTTCTGAAACAAATGAACTGAAGCGAAACAATTAGAGTAATTAGAAAGGTCAACCAGAAAATTAAAAAAGCTCATTCGTCAATGTTAATCGAGAAGTGCAGCAACAACGATGTGAACGCTATCATAGGTATCATCTTATTTCACAGTTTTATCCATTAAAAATCCAAAATCATTACTATTATTCGGCCATAAAAATGATCATTTGCAAAGGCATTTGAAAAAGAATGAAATTTCTGAAGATATATAGGACAAAACTATACCTGCCATCAACGAATGAATACATTAAAAGCCTTTCATCGACTAGTTTTCGATATTGTGGATTTTCCTTGATTAAATCTCGATACTCATCATTACTTACTATTACTGCATCCTTCTCTTCCGCTGTTTTCAGGATATACCGGTCATCATGACATACAATTCGGCGACCATTGATGCGACGCGATGGTGTCCATATCTATAAATTACTTCTACATTCACTGAAGCTAAAACGGTAATATTAAAATCATCATCATCATTTTTCCTAACCTCTACCAAAATTTTTTAAGCCAGTGTTGAAACTTTGCAATAAATGATGAAAAATTGAATGAACCTTTGATAACAAGTTGTGGAAATAGATAAATAAAGGTGGCGAACGAAAATGTGATTCCGAATAAATAAACGCCTTACTTTGAATTCTAAACTTAACGGTCTCCGCTGCCTTTACGAAAGCGAAAAAGAAAAAATTAAAACTAACTAAGACATTTTCCTTTTCTAATTCGAAAAGTATATATTGATCGGTAATTGGACAATCTGAACGGGCTATTTCACGCCGAAATTGAGGAACGAAAACAATTACGTCTGTATGACCGCGATTACGGAAAAACTGCACACATTCACGTATACCACGACAAGAAAATACCTCTTTGCGGCCGTATCTGAAACTCTCTTGAATCCATGGCCTTGAAAGGGCAAAAATTGATCAACTGAGGGAATGAAATGATTTCATCGACTTCACTCAGTTAATTTTATAAATATTTGGTAAATGGAAAACTTATGGAAAGCGTAATCGAAGCTACTTATATCGAAAAAAAATTTATAATGCGACAAAACTGTGAGACATATTTTTTAACAACACAAAGTGACGAGGAAAGGCAAATGAACTGATTAGAAATGAAAACAGTGACCGTTTCAATTAATATCAGTAACAAATTAAATAAGCAATATTTTTTATCTATTTTCGTACGTTGGTGAGTCTCAAGGATAACTGTGACAAATTTGTTATCACAGAGATCTATATTATCAATAATCCTGTTTTTCTAATTTTGAAAAAAGTTAATTAAGTAAATCAAGCTGCATTTTTCACATTATCAATGCTAGCAGAAAAGATCGAACATAACTGTCACATTTCTAACACTTCATTTTGCTGCACCATTGAAAATTCATAAATATATTAAATATCTTTTTAATACACAAAACTCAGAAAATGTCAGCAAAAATATTAGTAGTAGAAATTATTACTAATTTGTATGTAATTCTAACTATTCTTTTTTTTTTTATTGTAAAAATTTTTATAGAATATAATTTACAATTTTCACTGATCAAAGACACTTTTGGACAGGACAAGAATGACGGATGAGCTGATCAATGTTAAGATCTAGACAAATCAATGGACTACATTTGCTCTGAAAATATGATTTCAGTAATTCAATATGGACTACAAATGAAGGTCATTGGTAAGTTCTGGTTCGAGACTCAGTACTGGAAAAGGAAATTAAAATCACTTATCAAAGAATTAATTTTACTGTTATGGATCATTAGTATCATTCATAATTTTATATTCGACTGTATTTCAATATAATCGTAAGCTCTTAAAATATTCAGTTAGAAGTACTTGGTTTCAGTGATTCAGATGTTAATAATAAATAATACACTTAAATGTAAGCCAAAAAAGAATATTCAATTTTCCAACAAGTGATAAGTGAAACAAACGTCATAGCGATATTAGAACCATCGATAACGATGCTGCGAAGTTCTGTGGTGAGTGTGTTTGGTGACTTACTTTCAACCACTTTCGAACCTTGATCCACCATTCCAGGCCCAAACTTGATCAGCTCATCAAGTATTTGATCCTGGAATTTGATCTAGAAGTGAGCTAAAATAATTATGGTCCTATATTTTTTCAAACTTTGTTTTTTAAGAAAATTGATTGGAATGTGATTACTGCACACCTATCATATTATATATTCCGCTATTTAAAAAACAAATGCACCAGAATCTCTTTTGAGCATGCGTTTATCAGCATCATTCCAAATTAGTTCTGAAAACAACTTGTTTTCTACAAGAAAATGTTATTTCAAGTAATCAAATATTAATGCCCAACAATCTTTGTTATACTCATCGCCCGAACATGAGTTGCAGTTTGCATAGATTTGTGCATGTGCAATCTGGCATTTCAATTGATCTTCATATTGATGCCCACACGGATTTTCATATATCATAGGGATAGGAGGTAAGTAGAAATCTACTTCTCAAAGATGAACTCGATGATAATTCAATATAATGAAGGTCAGTTAGGATGATAAATAGACTGTGGAACGAGATGTTTTCATAGAAAGCAGCAAAGAGTGAGAAAGAGCACCGAAAATCATTGAATTAAATATGAAATTATTCTTACAACAATGCAATAAAATATTGGCAATTAAAACATTTGAGAAAAAAACATTTGTCTATTTTCTATTTACTTCTCACATCGAAATATTCAAAATATTCTTATATCAACCAATCTAAACAAATATTACTAGGTATATTAATAAGTTATTATTATTCAATTAACTATTATTCAACTAAGGACAAACTTACAAATTCATCGCTGAAATATATGCATTGAAATATCAGATAAGACATTTCAACTATATATTCATCTACTAATAATTAACGGTTGGAAGAGTTGAAAGAAAAATTAGAATAAAATTAACTAAAGATGAAGTTGAAAGCGAATAAAAGGATAAAATTAACCGAACTTGAATTCCCTCGGTTTTCCGACCCACCTTTCTGACATTCATTCCAAGCTTTCCAAGGACAGTTTCCAACTGTTGTACAGAATATCCGAGTCGTGTTACGAAATCTACATTCTGAAGAAATCTATGTTTTGAAGGGTGCTGCTGCTCAAATCCGGAATCTGCTGAATTAGATTCTGTACTAGATGTGCTCAGCTGTGCGATTCCCTTCGCGATACTATCCAATGGTTCTCGCGATGACGAGCTATGCGATTCTTCCGAACAGCTCGAATAGCAAGAATCATGTGACTCGACTACATTGCCAGGTTCTGTCCTCTTGCTGCTGAAATTTGTAAATATTTTCGAGAACTGACAAGAAGATTTTTACTACCAATAAGAGCAGCTGAAAACACCCTCAATTCAGAAGATCAAATTGAACCGTTAAGAAAAAGGAAAAAATTGAAGACAAGAATACAATTTAGACCTCTCCAACAGCCTACCGAATAACTCAGTGGTTTTTTTCGAGCAAAACTGCCCGGCACTTTGGCAAGAAACATCTACACACATAATAGATGAAATACTGACTATCCGGTTCTGAGCAGATTACCTGACTGACTGGTGCTGCTCGAGAGACTCATCCTGTACCACCGGAACGATTGCTCCATCAGGTCGTAAATGTGACTGTTTGCTTGCATTCGCAGTGGACACATCTATCTGTACAACTGGCATTGCATGTCAAACGGGAAGTTTTCTCACTAAGTCAAATACGACAAGTTGATGATTCTGAAATAAATAACGCCAGATGGACAACCGATTTATCAGTTTGTCGCCCCTAATGCAAATCGTAAGCACGTAAGTAAAAGGGATGAGACGACAGCGCAACAATTACACAAAGCGCTCCATCAGTGCAAATTTATTTTTGTTACAATGACTTTGGCTTTGTTGCAGTGAATATCACTATGGACTGTGGAACTTCCTGTAGGTTGAAGCATTTCATCTATTATTGTTGTTTTGTAGATGGACACGTTGGCAAGGGAATAAATATACAGAATTTGAATAGTGGGAATTAATTTTACCAACAAAAGATAGAGTGGCTATTAATTTAAAAATTGAGAAGGAAATTCAAAACAAGTGTGTGGAAACGAGAAGCGATGAATCATTTTAAAATTCTACCGGTTGGTAAATAACATTTGGATAGAGCGGCATTTTTGTCCTAGTTTTTTAAGCTTAAAATTGAAAATTGAAAAATGAGAAAGCCATTTGGTTAATAACGAAACAAACTTATGGTGGTTAGACTGGTTGATTTGAAGCTGCTGAACAAGGGGTTTTTCATTTATAGGGGACATAGCTATTACTGAACCTTTTGTTTTTTTTTTTTCATTTTTTTTTTTTTTTTTTTTGCTGAGATAAAATCTAAGCTGCTATCGAACTCGATAACTGGAGAAGAGAAAATAGATAGACAGATCTGATCCATCACTCTTTACGTCAACAGGTTCCACTGCGCAAGCATAGGTAAAAACCCCTAAGGGGTAGTCTTATTGCTTATCAACAAACAATAAGTAAGATATTCAAGAAATTTTCGGGGAAAAATTCAGTACTAATACTGTTGTGCGATCGTTGTGGAACTTTTATTGTGGTACGGGAAATTCATCCATTGGTTTTCGGTAATCGCTGAGAAGATCAATGGTCTGGGTATATGGCTTCGCAGAATTTCTTATTTCATAAGATTCCTCCATGCAGTCTTAACTTTATTTGCTAGTTGAATAATGCATCTTTTGAATGCATTTTTTATCACATTAATAAGTCGTTGGGGATCAGTGATAAAAATAAGAAAAAAGAACTTTTTATGAAAAAAAAAAAAAAAAAATCATTAATTAACTAATAATACATCGGTTACATAAGATCTGAATTCTTTAGCAAATCATTTCTCATTTAATCATTTCTTTTTCAAGAAATAGACTTTTAATGTCGTGAATAGTGCATATATCAAAGAATTTGCTCTATGCTTATTAAACTACAAAAAAACAACGAAGAGATGAAGAAATTTCCCTAAATTATGTTAAAGATGAACAGTTTATTGTACAGCAAAATAAATGAAGGACCTGAACAATATTTCTTTTTTCAATTATACCAATTAAGATAAGTTGATTTCGTGAAATTTAGGTCAGCTGATGGATTCTATAAATATGAAATTACAAACCATAGTAGTAGTGATGGAGTGTGAGATGTACTGGCGAAAGTAATATTTTCACAGCGTTTACCGATACTGAAATGGTGCTTGATATGGCGCAAAAAGGACACTGCTGCATTATTTTGCATGCATGCATTATTCATGCAAGTCAGGTCATGGAATTATATAACTTGATGTACATACTCCAAAATTATTGGTAATCAAGTTAATGTAATTAGCATTGTAAGTTAGCATCAATCAAATCAAATTAACTGTAGTTTGACTGACCCCTTTCTCTCTTAAGCAAGTCATTGATACTTGTATGCTAAAGTTATTAAGTCATTATTAGTATCTAACATCCAGTAGTCTGACAACGCGATTTGTTCGGAGTATTTCCATATGAATGTCTCAAGCTTAGCTTAGGTTCTGGGAAAACACTTTCAGTAGTGTGCAGCAGCTGTCATACAAATATCAATGAAATATCTTTGGCCAGTATTCGCTAAAATTATTTCGTAAGATTCATTAGGAACTCTAAAAGTTGATGCTAAAAGGAAATTATGAAAGAATATCTGGGACAAGAGATGACAGCTATTCCGTCGCTTCGATGTGTCCATTCTACTATGATAAAAGAATGATGTGCTAAAAGTGAGGGTCATTTTAATGATGAAAGTATACTTTTCATCGCCACACGACATTAGAGAGAAGAGTGAATTGAAGATGGCTGTGAAAGGTGGACAAAAGTCATGAAACGTGAGACAAGAATAGAACGCTATGAAATGAAGTAACACCCTGTTCTTATACAACTTCACTTTTGTTTGTGTTCTCTTGTTTTTTCTCTTTCTTTAACAGAAACTTCTTTTAATCCAATATTTACGCAATACAGCCGGCAACAATATTCATTCATATAAAAGGACATAAGAAGAAAAACAGGAAAATGTGGAGTAAAGCGGCTTTGTCGCATACGACAATACAGCATTACATTTGTTATGTCATAGAAACACATACATATATGCATACGTATGCACAAAGATAAACAAAGAGAATTCGAAAAAAAAATTCTCACAACAGGAAGTTTATGTAAAACCCTGTGGGCCTAACAGTTCAGTGTCACGTTATCTCCTGATCGAGATTTCTCTTTGAGATTATCAGTAGGGACAGCTGTTCGGTCCTATCAACATTCTCGTGATGATGTATCTCCAGTTGACTTCGTCTTAGCTGATCGCTGATCTCAAAGCTTTCTCTCACTTTAATCAATGAACTTAACAATTTAGCTAAGTTCATGAAAAACAAGTGGAAACTGAAAAGAGGTGCAACGATTGCTGCGGAATAACGATCCACTCGCTTTGCCTTCGATTGAAAACCTCATCAACAGTTTTAGCAATCTTTCAATCTTCATTTGTAATTATTAACACAATAAATCATAGTATCAGAAAATATCTTGTTTGCTCTGGATTATAGAATATATATCGAATCGTTTTAATTACACCAAAACTAAATTGTATTCATTAGCAAAATTTAAATAATAATATATCCTAATAAAATATAAAATATTTCTTAAGATGGTGGCACTTTTATGTTTGAGAGAGAAAAATTTTTTAAGCATATCATTTTTTTTTACGAGTTTGAAGCTTATTAGTTTTAAGTTATTTACTTCCATTTTTAGTTTCTTATTCTTGTCACTTCTATGTACTGTCTTCATAGTTTGTAATAATCATAATTTTTCGTACGAACGCTGGTAGTTGCTGATAGATTTGATAAACATTGAGTTATCTTTTTTATGATTTGGGATTTGGCGGAGATATTTCATTGCAGTTTGAAAATGAACACATACAAATTCTAATTAAAATGTAAGAAGTGAATTTTCCGGTCAAGGGGCCAATGCAACAGATGCAATAATTAAAATAGAAACAAGTCTGTATTATTAAGAAAAAAATGTTATTTCTGAGCGCTAAAATTATGTCACCTTAATGACTTTTCTAAGTTAGCCTCAAAGTAGAATCTAGAATACAGGTCGATCTTCAAATTCCTGAATAGTTTTTTATTTTTTAATGTGCTTCAAAATTCATAAATGAAAAAAGAATCCGAAAAAAAAAAATGAGCTAATGAAATATTTCAGCAATGATTTAATAAATCACTCTTTAGGCACATTTTTTTGTACCTTACTCATCATATATTAATATACATAAATAATAAATTTATTCGAAAACTACTTTGAAAATACTAAATAAATTTGAATAATCGAACCTTTCTAATATCCCGAAGCTTTCATTTAGCTCAAAATGTTTTGAACTAATAAATCGATTGCTTGAATTACTTAAACAACTGTAGAATTTGCAAAAAAGGATTCCATCAGTTAGTTTCAAATTTTAAAAAAATATTATTTCTTTTCTAAATTACTTTTTGAATTTTTCAAAAGTAGAAGCTGTAAATTTTGTTATGTGAGTTTCACCAATAAAATTCTTTTATATTTTTGTATATTACTTATATGTTTATTTTTAAAATTACAACAAATTCGTGCAAAACCTAAATTTAAATGTTCGAATTTTCTATATTCCGAAACTTCCATTCAATAAATTTTTTAAAAAATATTGCATAACTCTGTTTTTCATATGCTTTTATATGTTTTTAAAAAGAAAGATTGAAGAAAATTATATTATATAGTATTATATGAAGAGGTAAACTATTATTTTCACTATTAGCTAGCCTAGCATATTTCACAATCGATAATTAAACTTTGCATTTGAGCCTTTCAAAGAATATCTTTAAAGCTATTCAAATAGTCCAAAGCAAACTGGCTCTTATCGCAATATTTGTAGATGCTTTTTTGTTATTTTTCAACACTTCTGACCAAAACAGCTACTATTCAAAACGTTCTTTAAAATTTGAAAGCAGGGAGATAGATTGTTAATGTTGCTGTGTTGCTGCATACAAGCATGCATTTCTATATGCTCAATATACAGTTCATTTAGATGCAGGAATGTGCATGTGAGCATGTGGTGGTTGCATGCATATGGCGCGCACTGTTTTTAGTCTACGAAATTCCCTTTTTTTTAAAAACAACTCTTCGCATTTCTGCTTTTGTAATTCTTTTTTTAATTTTTGCATTCATCTCGCAAACTTGCAGTATTCTTTCTCAATTGTTTCCTGTGGCTGTACTGATGCACATTCTAACGTGTATGATTCAGATTCAGTGTGTATGCACATATAGGCACGTATGTAGACTTATACAGACGTGTGTGTGCTAATATAACTGTCCACAACGTATAGTGGGTGTGTAGGATAAGATGAACGAAATGGGTGAAAGGACTAACGACAGAGTTGGCGTAGGAGAATTTCGATCTAAATTCAAAAATTTTTCCGAAGTTTATTTTCGACAAGCCATAAATTTTTCAGAAATTTCGTTTGTGCATTAGTAGTTGCGAAAACTATGGCTGTTAACTGTACGGTAGCTTTCAATTGTCTGTCGTCTAAAACAAATTTATCAACAACAGAAAATGATTTGTTCGATTGTCGGAATGACCACCATGTAGTAACAATGGCATTTTCGATTAAATCAAAT